CAGCAGCAAACACGGCTGCCGCAGCAGCAGTGACAGTGGCGACAGCGGCAACAGCAGCAGCAGAGAAAGCAGAAAACGCGGCACAGCAGCAGCAGCAGCAGCAGCAGTCCAGGAGCAGCAGAGCGGAGGGGCAGTAGGCAACTCCCCGTGGAGCTGGCCTGGTGCGAAGAAGCCCTAAACCCTAAACCCTAAACCCTAGACAAGTCAGGCTGGGCATACCAAATGAAGTCTTTGCGCTTTATCACCACGTAGTCCAGCTTGTGCATGACTGAAAGACAAACAAAAACACGCAAACCCTAATCCCTAAACCCTATTCCCTAAACCGTTAACCCTAAACGAAGCAAACTAGGAACACCCAAGCAACCAGCAAAGCAACAAATGGCAATGCACTTCAAAACATACTAAACACATCCTAAGCCCGCCAATGAAGACTTATTAACACAGCAACCCCACCAAAAACAGGGCCCCGCATTACCGACCCGGGGGGCCCCTGAGGGGCCCTGAGGGGCCCCCAGCAGCGCTCACGGGCCCCCTTGCCGCGCCACAGCCTCAGGCAATAGTCTAAGAACCGTCTAGGGGCCCCCGGGGCCCCTACGGGCTTCGTCTCCCTGTCAAAGGACCCCTGGGGACCCTAGGGACCCCTGGGAGCGCCAGGCTAGGCCCCAAACTACTCCCAGGACCCCCAGAGCCCGCAAGACTGGACTCTGGGGCCCCCAAAACATCTTTGAAGTGCCCCTATAAGCCCCACAGAGGCCCTGGGGGCCCACGAGGCTACGGGCCCCCTTGGGGCCCCTTGAGGCCCTCTTGGGGCCCCTTGAGGCCCCCTTGGGGCCCCTTGGGGCCCACTGGGGGCCCCCCCGGGGCCCCTTTTAAAGGAGGACTGGTGGTGTGCTCACGCCTGGTGTGGTGTTGGTGCTTTCTGGCAGTCTCTTGAGCATGTTTGACGAGAGAGTACAAGACGGAAAAGGCCGCTGGCTCGCTCATGTAGAGCAGCAGAATGCAGGCAAGGTGCGGGATGATCTGCGGCGCAGCCGTCGGGCTAGCCAAACCCTAAACCCCAAACCCTAAGCCCTAAACCCTGGGTGTTTCGCTCCCACGCCTGCTGGACCCGAACCCTCGCTCCTAGGCGCTCCTACGCATGCCGCCCTGCGCTCTAAACCCTACGCCCAACGCCCCAAAACCTAAACCCCATAAACCCCAAACCCTAAACCCTAAACCCTAAACCCTAAACCCACAGGGCAGAACTCAAGTCCCCTTCTGAAGAAAGCAAAAAGGCCCCACAAAAGCCGCCGCGCCGCCGCCTGGCCGCTAGGGTTTAAAAGGCGGCTGAAGTCTGTTACGTCTTCGAGGAAGTAGACGGTGGTCCTAAACCCCAAGCACGCAAACCCCAAACCCTAAATCCTAAACCCTAAACCCTAAACCCTAAAAACTGAGCCCTGCGTCCCAAACCCTAAAGCCCAGACCCTGAACCCTGCGCACTAAACCCTAAACCCTAGGCCCTAAACCTTCAATCCCAAACCCGAAACCCTAGACCCAAAACCCTGAATCTTAAACCCTGAACCTAAACCCTAAACCCTTAATGCTACATCCCGGGGAGAACGTACCCGGCTCCCTTTTCGATTTGTTCTTCCCAGCTCTTTGATTTCTGAGAAGAGTCGTTTTGGGGAGACTTTTGCTGCGGTTCCTGCTGCTGCGGGCGCTGCTGCTGTCGCTGCTGCTGCTGCCGCTGCTGCTGGTTGTGCTCGTAGTAGTCAACGGAGTTCGGGGGCAGCGGCGGCAGCAGCAGCACGGAGGCTTTGGCTTGAGGGTCTGGCATGGTGGCGCTCATGTAGCGGAGGGGAGGGTCCTGCTGCTGCTGCGCTGCTGCTGCTGCTGCTGCTGCTGCGGCTGCTTGCAGGGGAGGGGTTGGGGCCTGGGCGAGGCGGACAGTCTGGAGCTGCTCGTCGAGCTCCTGCTGCTGCTGCTGCTGCTGCTGCTGCTGCCGCTGCTCCCTGGTCCACTGGCTTTCGGGCAGCAGGGTTTCATCTGCCTCGTCCTCAGGCAGAACGTGCAGGCTGCTGCCCCTAAGGGGCGGGAAGTCTGCTGCTGCTGCTGCTGCTGCTGCGGTGGCGGCTCCCTTGGCAGCAAGGATGAGGTCGTCGCTGAGAGTGCTGCTGCTGCTGCGCCTGCGCAGGTCGCGGACAGCAGCGCTGGCTGCAGCAGCAGCAAGGCGGTTTGTCTCAAAAGGATCATCTCCAGCCCTCATTGCATTACTCAAAAACCCCAATCTCTGGGACTCTGCTGCTTCTTCTTTCCTTCCTTTCAGACTCATGCAAAGCCCCACTCCCGGCAAAATGCGGGACAGCAAGCTGCGCCTTCGCTGCGAAGTGGGGGGGGTGGGGGGCCCCCCGAGGGCCTCCACGAGGTACACGGGGGGCCCCTCCGTCTCCAGCTCCCCCCCGGGGGGCCCCCTGCTCGGCAGGGTCCCCAGCCACGTGTCGCTGCTGCTGCGCGCAGCTTGCTGCAGCCAGTTCACCACCGCAGTACCCTCTTTGTGCGCGGCCTCGGGGGCCCCGGGGGCCCCCGGGGCC